GAGAAATTATTTTCCTTCCTCTAATGTTACCAAACGTAGGAAAATAAAATCAAAGTATTCCCAGAAAATATTTTCCCCTCAACAAAACACACCCTTATTATCTTAGGTTTAGTCATCCCAGTACGTACAAGTTACCGGTAACATTCTGTTTCTTTTACACCATCTTTTGTTCAAGGAGGAAAGGAAATTGTCAATGAAAGGAAAAGAAAAGGAATGAAATTCAAAATCCTGGTTTTGTTTGGTTATGAGATAAATTCATGAAGAATATAGTTTTCCTTGATTTTTTTTGTTTTTGTAGAGAAGTCAAAGGAAAGTTTAATTTTTTTTACTGCGCCGTTCATTGTCTTGTTAGAATACCAAATACGGATTTTTAAAATATTACTTATACATATTTGCCAAATTTTGGATTTTAATTGTATCATATTTGTTTTTAGTCTAAAATTGTTAATTTATTTATATAAATTTCAAGTAGTCCGTAGTATGGGGTGTGAATATCACCGCCTTTTATTTCTCGGTCGTTTCTCAACCTTTTTTTTTGGAACACAACAATTATTAATTTTTTTAGCCTGTAGAATCAAATATAGAATTAGGTGCACCAAAAAAATTAAAACTTAAGACAAAAAACACAGATTTTGCATGTGGGTGTCTATCCGTGAAATTCTAGCGTCTGAGCATTTGAGTGAGAAGTCAGTTGCACCGACCCTCACATTTCTCTCATTTTCCAGTCCGATTTTGGAAGGAAAATAGTTTTCCACATTTTCAATTCATTTTCTCTCCGCTTTTCTTTTCCTTTCACTTTGCTTTTGTTTTCCTCACTAACCAAACAAACAAAATAGTTTTTCCTCCCATTTTCTTTTCTTTTCCTAATCAAAATCCACGAATCAAACCGAGTGTTAGTCCGGTGTCCTATTTGGTTGCTTGTTCTTCAGTAAATAGCTGTTTTTTCGATCCCCAAGTCACCAGTTCACAACATATTTTTTTCTCTACTTGTTTTTGTGCTGATTCTTCTATCATTATAGGCCAAGTTAAACAACCAACATGATGCATATTCATTGACCAGTCTTCTTCTTCCTGTTCCTCTGCCACGGTTGTACTTAATGTGAGTATTACTTGCATCAGGTTGCCAGTTTAGGAAGAATCTTGGGCCCCCGAGGGCTCATGCCTAATCCAAAGGCTGGCACAGTAACAACAAATATACCACAGGTAATTATTTTTTCTCTCCTTCATATTAGCTACCACTTGCTTGCAGACAAGTTTGCCATGTTATTCGTTTTCTTGATATGCAGGTCATACAAGAATTCAAGCAAGGGAAAGTTGAATATCGGGCAGATAAAACTGGGATTGTCCACATACCGTTTGGGAAAACAGGTTTCTCGGATCACGATCTTCTCCAAAACTTCCAAGCTGTTGTGGTATGCTCTGTTTTTTTTAATATCAATTCCGCACTATCACTGATTAATATGTATGTGCCTCGTTTTGACCGGAGATCATCTGTTTGTTTGCCTTTTTATTAAAAAAAATTACAGAAATCCGTAGAAGCTAACAAGCCATCCGGTGCAAAAGGATTGTACTGGAAAAGTGCTCATGTGTGCTCTTCCATGGGACCTTCCATCCGATTAAATGTCAAGGAGATGTTGGATTTCAAGCTTCCAGTAAATGTGTAGTTTTGCAGACCTGTAAATTGTATCTTCTTAAAACTTTGTATTACATTTTCCTTTCCAGACGCGTGATACTATTTGTAATCCCTGCCTGAATGTGTTTAATGCCATTGAGGTCAATTACTTTGCTAGTTTCAACTAAGGGTGCATTTTTGAAACATGGTTTTTGTTCCTTTTTTCCACATCTACCAAGGAAGGGTCAAGGGTCAATCAATTGAGCAAGTTACAAAAACACCCTTAGTATTTAGCTTAGTTTTTGGGTGGAACAAAGGAGATCGTGAGAGAGAGCAATCATGGAGAATCCTGCAGTTTACAATTTACTAATCCAACTCAAGTTTTGTGTCCAACAACATTGTCTTCAACCTCTGTTGCCGTCGGTGAAGACGGAGGAGGGACTCAGATCTAATAAAATTGTTTCTAACATCTGTAGCCGTCGAAAACGGAGGGAGTCAGATCCCACAAAATAGTCTCCAAACATCTTTTGTCGGAGAAGACATAGGCAGGGAGTAACGGTGTCAAACATGTCTCTGAGTAGAAAATTTAGAAGCAACGGCTGAAAATTTAGAAGCAACGACTTCTAAATTATAATAATTTTAGACTAAAGACAAAGATGACAAGAATTAAAATCTAAAATTTGGCAAATGTGTATAATTGATATTTTAAAAATCCGTATATGTTATTCTAACAAGACGATGAACGGCTAGGTAAAACAAAAAAAATTAAACTTTCATTTGCTTTCTTCACAAGAACCGAACAAAATTAAGACTTTGAATTTCATTCATTTTCTTTTCCATGAAAATTTCCTTTCCTCCCCGATTTCTTGTACAAAACATAGTGTAAAGGTTATGAAAAAAGAAATATATCATAATATATTAGATTATTGTAGGGGAAAAAGGACACATAAAAGGTTACCTCGCCATTCATTTAGAAGGCATAATCAGTAATATTCTTCAATTATTGTTTCAAATAGTAATTCTACCACTGTTACTGACAAATTAAGGATATCTCGTGTTAGTTTCGTATCCAGTGCTTTTCTGGGCAGCCTGCACGAAATTGATCATCTCCGGAGATCCAACGTTGGATTTTGCTAAACATTAGAGAGATTTTTCCAAACACATAGGGCTCCAATCTGTTCAATTTGCACGTCAATCGGAATTACGGATCTTCTGTTATCAAAGTTACAATTTACATATTGCCACTGGGTTTTGTTTTGCAGAAAACGCAGCTCTAGTTTTGTCGATGATTGGAGTACCAAATCTTGTCTGATCTTGCTAACATTTTAGGAGGACTCTAAGGACTCATGGAGCTTGAATATGAACGGTGGAGATTGAATTCCAACGCTTCAATCTCGATTTATGAGCTTCGGATTAGCCTGCATATTTTTTGTGAGAAAGACAAATCTTTGTTTGAAGGTGTACTGAAATCTACGTCCTTGAAGAAGATCTGGGAGAAGCTGTAAATAGCCGTGGAGATAGACGCAAACATAGTTTGTCATCAAGTCATTCGTAAGTAGACAAATCAATACATTAGAAGGTTCTCTTGTGATTGGTTGTGTAATTCTTACAGTGATTTAGTAAAGGGGTGCTACACAGACGTGGGCCCCACACACGTACGAGAGTTGCTCCAAACTGCGTAAATAGTTCTTGTGTACTATTTACTACTTTTACTTTATATTCTGCATGTGTGCTTGTGACCATAGCACTCTGTGTGTCATCTGTTTCTATGACAGTGCTGTAGTATCTTCTCTACACCATAATTGTTTGATGTGTTTGCATAGCTTTCAATTGGTGATTTCTGCTGCAACCCCACAAACTTACAATTGGTATCAAAGTTTGGCAAGCTTAAGTTGCTAGCTTGATCGATCTATCACCATGGGAGATATTCAAGAAGGTTCTAATGTTTTTAGACCTACACTATTATGTGGCCATGATTATTGTTTTTGGAAGTGTTGAATGTGAGCCTTTCTCAAGTCTCTTAGTGGACATGTTTAGAGAAATAGAGGTTGGATGGTCAGCTCCTATTATGACCAATGGAGATGGAGAACTAATTCAGAAACCTTATGAAAGATTTAGCATGAAAGAAAAGGATGTTGTCGAATCGAATGATTAGGCTTTGAATGCAATCTTCGGAGCAGTTGACAGAAACCAGTTCCGTCTTATCGATCTCAAACTACATAGAGGCCAAGAAAGCTTGGGACATTTTTCTTATTACTCCTGAAGGCACTACAACGGTCAAGACAGTCAAACTTCCGATCGTGATGTCTAAAATTGAAAATGTTAAAACGGAGGATGTTGAGTCTATCACAAATTTTCATGGGCGAGTTAGAGAGTTGGAAAATGAGTTTGAAAGGCTTGGTGAACCAATTACAGAACATAAGCTGGTGTTGAAAGTTCTAAGTTCTGTTCCTGAAAATTACTATATGGACGTCAAAGCTATTAGACAAAAATAACCTCTCAATACTACATCTTTTGATGACCTGATGGGGAACTTTGAAACCATTGATTTGGAGATTCATGAAGATCTACAACGTAAGAAATAGTTTGTCATTCCCGTTGAAAAAGAGAAGTAGCGTGTTAAAGACAGTGCTGGAACATATTGTGTTTTTCCAACTTTCTGCAGTGATGACGATGACTGTGATGGCCGTTGACGTTGATCCAAAGGAGATGCATATAATTTTCAAAGAAAAATTTTAAGAGTCTCTATAGGTCAACAAGAAAAAATGTTTGGAAAATGATAGTCTCAAACGTGAACTTGCTCAATCAAATCGCAATGTGGAACAACTCACTAAAGAGTTATAGAGATACAAAGTTAATGTTACAGCAAAGGATGACATATAGGATGATACAGAAGATGACACAGAGGTTTACACAGTAGAAGAGCTGGCTATTCTCCAAAGCAAGTGGGCAGCACGTCTTCAAGCCAACAAGAAAATTGTCCTGGAGAGGAGGATATTTCCGAATTAGAAAAGAAGATTGAAGACTTAGAAGGGCAACAATCTGATCTCAAGAATGAATTAAATCAACTCAAAAACTATCACAAATGGATGATGAGTGCTAGAGCAAAAGCTTTTGAGGGACAAATGAATATTTCAAAATTCTATTGAGACAAGACCGGTCTCGAATTTTCAGGTTCCGGAAGCAACAAGACCCCACTTGATTTGTTTGTTGACCAAAGAAAGGAAGTTGCTCAAAAGGTCCTAGAAAGAAGGAAACTAGAAGCTGCCAGATCCGCTAGAACATCTTAGACCTGCTGAAGCATCTCATGAAGCTTCTGTTGAGACATCTTGTGTAGCATCCTATGTAAAAATGCAAAGAGTTGTGACACAATCTAGGATGAGTAGACACAAGGATCATTATCCTAAACCTAAAAGGTATTCTTATACTAATGTATATGCTAATTCTGTCCGTTTTTGCTGTGGAAAAAGAGACACATTCAGAGGAAATGTAAGATTTTTAAAGAGCAAAGATACAGAAAAAAGAATGTGACAAGGATGATTCGGGTACCTAAGAATCAGTACAAAATAGGTGATAATCCTTATGTGAAAGATGTTGATTCTGATCAATGCCATGTTGGTAGTGCAAGCTTGCATCATGGAGAAAAGAAAATAGATCATTGTGCTGTTAAGAATACAGAATCATCACATAAGTGTGATGAAGTGACACCTCCTAATCATGAGAGTGTGAAGTTTATGTCTATGAAAAATGGGCATTGGACATGTGTAAAAGAGCATTTGATAAGAATCGGTTTGGTATACTCAGATCCCGCTTGGGTCTGTGCACACCCATCTCTTCTTGATCTAGAGGATGCTCTAAGAGGTGTTTCATCCCCAGCCTGGAATACCTTAGAGCATAAGTGTTTTTGCTGGTTGTATACATGTGTTTTTATTCTTTCATATTATTACTTTTTCAGATGGATCGTCCGAGGGGGAGTCGCCCAAGTATGGCACAGGATGATGTGACAAGTCTAGGTCTTTTTTATATTCATTGTTGTAATGCTCAAGCTCACTTAGATGTTACTCTTCTCTTTTTCCCCCAATATTCTTAATAAAACCTTTGGTATTTTTTATGCAAAAAAGGGAGAGAAGAGGTTCAAAACAGCTAAGATTCATTTTTTGACACAAAATTGCCAATGGGGGAGATTATTAATTCTGTATTGTGTTCGCATTATTTTTTGATAAACGAATAGATTAACCTAGAATTATTTTAGATGTTTTATTTAGACATAGAATCTTAGCATGTGCAGAAAGAGAAAGGGGAAAGAGCTTGAAGAGAGAATTCTAATCCTACTTGGTTTACTTTTCTTGAGGAGGACGCCATGGTTGAGACTCCTAAGTACACTCTAAAAGAGTTATTCTATTCCATATATTATCTTCTTCTTCCTTTATGTTTTTGGCGTGCCAAAAAAAATACGAAAGAACAGAAGCAGATCAGATCAAAAGAAAAGGAAGAAGGTGCAGATTTTGACAATGCAAATTTTTTGGACAGCTTACACGTATTTGATCATCGCCGGAGATTGGACAGTTCGATTTTGCTGAAATGTTTAGAGAGCGTTTCGAACACATCAATCAAAGTTACAGATCATCTGTTATCGAAGTTACAGTCTACATATTGTCGTTGGTTTTTTTTGCAGAAAACGCAGCTCTGGTTTTGTCGATGATTGGACTATGAAATCTTGTCCGATCATGCTGAAATTTTAGGAGTCTAAGAACTCGTGGAGCTTCAGTATTAATGGTGGAGATCGAATTCCAATGGTTCAATATCAACTTATTAGCTTCGGACCAGCATGCATATTTTTTGTGAGAAAGACAAATATTTGTTTGAAGGTGTACTGAAATCTACGTCCTTGAAGAAGATCTTAGAGAAGGTGTAACAAGCCGTGGGGATAGACGCAAACAAATTTTGTTGTCAAGTCCTTCGTAAGTAGACAAATCAATACATTAGAAGGTTTTCTTGTGATTGATTATGTAATTCTTACAGTGATTTTGTAACACCCTAATCCGTCCAGGTCTGCAGCCCCTTTCGGACTAAAGTATTAACTTGGTAATCGTAAAATTTAAAACTTTTCAAACACTTTTATTTATCACGATAATATTTTTCATAACATATACAGTGCGGAGTTTTCAATATTGCGGAAGCTTAACAAATCATAATTACAAACATAATTTATTTATGTTCTTTAATTCAAAACCATCACATCCATTCCGACAATCTNATTCATATTCAACATTCAACATCCTCATTCAATAATATCCTTAAACTA